CATATCGTATATGAAATAACTGTATATTACTATATATCTTTATTCTAAAAAATGTTGATATCGAGTTTACAACAAATCTCTTTGCAATTTATTAATTCAAAGTTTACATACTTAGAAAGTCCAAACTGCAACTTTTCGAGCCTTTCCGCCATTCTTGAATAAAACAAAAACATAAACACAATTACGACTCTCATGATAATCAGTTATATTCAGATCTAAATAGTACAATTGCCTAACTTCTTTTTAATAACCATTTTTAACACCCATTTCTTCTGATTACTTTGATCAAAACAATCCTATTTGATGGTTCGATAATTAAGGAGGACCTATAAAACGTTTGTTAGAGTGAGGTATCAGATAAAATTAACTGTTTTCAATTTAAGTTCAGCTGCTTTCAACGATATCATAACGTCTTATATTATAAGGTGTGTTGTCACGCAGTTTTACGCGGAAGTGAAACTAAAATTGTGTAGAGTAGTCAGAATCCCACGTAGCAATTCAATAAAGCTGTAAATTTTATCACTAAAAGTTTATAATGATAATGCCTAACTAATTCTGTGCAAATACAAATAAATGTAGTTTGCTGCAATTTTCTTTCTAAATTATTAATGTAAAGTTTGTTTTGGAATTATCTAATAACCTACAGTCAGAATTTATAAATGTCTCAATCTGGTGGTAGTATTCTTTAATTGTTCAAAAACATGATGTCTAACCAGGAAAAGAAGTTTATTTGTCGATATCACAATTCAATAAATCAAAGAAAAAATACGTTTTCATCTAATATAAAAGACTTTTATGTAGCACTCTTGAATGTATAACAATTGCAAAAGTAAGTTCAATTATTTAAAATGAAAAGGTAAAGAAATTTACTTAATATATGTTTCTTTATATTCTATGGCAGATTTGCAATTTGGAAATTACTAAGTAATGTTCTCAACTTTTAGCATAATGGGTGTCTCTATTTGTGTCTTTATTAATTCAATAATGATCAGGTTATTTGTTTCGACAGTTGTTTCAAGATAATGCCAAACAACCTTTGGGACCGCATCTTGCCTTATATTTACAATGTGGCTGTTGTTGATACTCACAGCCGATAAAACAACAAGACAGTGAATGTAGGTTAGATATATGGCTAAATGAAACATCATATAAGACGAAGGTTGTTAATGTCTTACATATCTCAAGTTTTCTCCTTTTAACAGTTCTTTTATAATAAATAAATCAAAGTACAAGTCTTCTAACCTAAAAGGCTTCCATCTTATACTCGTAAAAGCTTTTATGGCGCATTTATTTATACATGTCAATAAAATGGTGGAGAAAACTTTTGTCTTAACAAAGGTCGAAAATCTTTGAGATCATTCACCTTTTTCTAAAACTTGTTTAAACTTAGTTTGATCAAAGATCCAATGGCAAAATATGAAACTCACTGTATGTTATGAACAATATCTACAACCAAACTAAAATACGTTGAATCTGGTCAGACAGTACGATATCCAACATTACAAATATAAATAAAGCAGACAATGATCTAGAACATAATATTATGTTTCCTCATAAAACAAATGTTTATTCTTAACCACCAGAACTTTATTTACATTTGCTTTTAAAACATTTTTTTTAAGAATATGTAAATGATACATTTTAATTTTTTTATTTACATAATTTGTGACCAGTGGTATGTTTGATTGTTTCTTGATATTACTCAAAACAACGTACCTACATTTGAGAATTTGATCATTTTTCATGAGCAAAATTATCATTAAATCTACCACTAAAGTAGCAGCTAGATATTTTGAAATTTGGTAACGTTTTTGGTTTCTATTATCATATACGAATCATGTGAAATAAATAGCAGGAACATTAAAGCTATTTCCAATTATGACCAAAAAAACATTATTAAAAAATAAAATGAACCTTTTTGAAATATGATATATAGTCCGTCAATTATAGTTTTACAAAATTTTTGAATCTATATAATATTGATAAATTGGAACAAAAAATCAACAAGAGATACGTTTTAAGATTTCTTAAATTGGTAAATCGACGTTTTGCTTTCACGAGTCCTCAGCAGAACGCAGGAAATAACATTAAGACTAAACAAAACGTGGTGTACTCATAAAAAAGAACAAAACAAAAGTGTCATTCAAAAACATCTTTCAAAAAGATAAGTTAGATTGTTAAAGGTAACAAGAAGTTTCAATTTGAGTAAAATAGTAGAGTAATTTGACTGAAATATTAAATCTTTAAGATAACAACTGGCTTGACATTGTGCTTCACTGAAATGGTGACAATGAATGAGTTTAAGATTGATAAAAGCAATTTGTCTATTAAAACAAAACAAATTTTGCTAGAGGTTGTTTTACTTAATTGCCAGGAGAAGAACCAGGGAAAGTATTTGTTTGATTTTACTTAAGATTAAACTACACAACCATTTTACATAATAAACAATGAACACACAATTAGGAAACAACTTTCGAAATATCAGTATTCGTTGTGTAGATTTTTGCGAGCAACACTTCCGTCTATTTTTTTCTCTTTGATGTAGTGTTGTAGCCCGCCCATAAAATAATGGAAATTGTTTAAGCTCGAATCTGTCGAATATCATATTGTAGACTTATTCAGAGTAAAAAGAAATCATTTGTTTCTTTCAGGATTTTAATGCTGTTCTTTATTATTATTTCGCATGTTTGAGAAGTATTTACAGTGAACTACAAATGCATCGTAACTGAATAAACTATTTTCTACTTTAAATCAGGGAGAAACGAATTTTAAAAAAATAACCTAGCTCGATTTGCTTGTAAACTCCAATCAATTTCGAATGTCTTTTGTGCTACAGAAGACAATTACTGTAACCTGAAAAAACATAATCCAAAAATATTTGATAAAGATACTGCCAATTCATCGCAACAAGTCAATTATGGTTGATTGAAGTTAATTTTTATACTAAGAATAGTCTTTCCTCTACCTTGAATTATTTTATATCGACGTATGACAATGTCTGTATCACTTTTTACTCAAAAAATACAAAGAGAAAGCCCCTTATTGTTTACTGTGTATGGAAACCTGTTTGAGTTATATCGTATAATTTTCAAGGATAAGATACATAAGTACCATATATGTAACAATTATGTTAAATTTTCTTCTATGTTCGACCAATTTGCTTTTAGTATTGCTCTACCTTTTATTGACGGTATTGTATGACAAACTTAACATTTATTCGCAATGTTAGTTATTCGATATTATCATCCTTCTAACAAGTTATAATTGTATATTAAAGATGTTATTAAATATTCCAATGATGTTTGCGATCAGTCAATAATAATAAAAAGATTTATATATCTATATCTTTAATTCCAGAAATATTATGTTTGAGCACAAAATGTGTTCCATTTTCTTTGTTACCATTTTCCTAAGAAAATATTAAATATCTTCGAGAATTGTGTATAATTATAGACATACAAAACTTAAGATGGTTAATCCCGCTGTTTATACAGTAATGTTTTTTTTTCAATCTTAAGTAATTATGACACAGTGACAATGGTAAAATGACATACATGTAACTGAAATAGAGAAAAAACAGAATCCCTAAAATACGCCCAAAACGACACAATTTGAAATGTGGCAGACTCGGTTTGATTGAGCTTGTTAATTGACAGAACTGAAAAGTGCATGTTACCGTCCACGCCCCCGAAGACAAAATATATTCATTTGTGCACAAGGCAACGCAAGTAGAAACTTTATTACCCTCCGTAAATAGAAAATAGAAATACCTTATATTAGAATTACAGTCATTAATTATCATAATTTATATAACATTGCAATCGTCTACAACAAAGCCTGACAGATTATAATGTACTTTACCTGCAGCTTTTAATAAGCAACACATAAACAGTATCTGTTTAATCCGTATTTATAAAAGTATGGCAATGTATTTTAACGGCGAGTTGGTACCTGAATCGTTTAAAAGATATGCTGAGAAACTATTTAGACATTAATCGTGTTGCATCATTAAGCAAAATTAAAACATCATGTTTTAATGATTTAAGAAAATGAAACATGCATTTCCTTACGTTTGATGTTTTTGTAATCACATTACGGTCGTAGTTATTGTATTGCATTTTATAATTAAATTGCCTTCATATGTTAAATCAGCCGTAAGGCAATAAACTTGCTCTGTTAATATCATGGCATGATTATGTATAGTTTCCTTCACAGATTTTACATTTATTTGTACCTAAAAGGCAGTTCTAATTGAACCATTCCCTACATTACATTACATTTCTATGGTCATTTGATTGTTTTGTTGTTTTAATAATATTGATAAGACTTTAAACGGCTTAAGAAGAGATAAAAGCCTTTTCTTTTTATCACAATCTTTTTGATCTAGATATAATAATATTCGTAAAACTATCAAATTAAAAATTATTGCTGTCTAGCTCGTTTTTAAATTTGCATGCAGCCAGAAAATATTTAAAAAAAAATAAACTAGAGAAAAATCTTCGACGACTTTAAGAAAAGTAAAATGATTCAAGTTTCAGCTACTAATAAACATGCTATTTGCGATTAATTAGTGATTTATGTGTATTAAGCACAATTTTTCCAGTGCGTAATTAACGAAGTACGAGTATTTTTCACATTGTGACCTTTTTGGTAGTTTATTTGATTTGTTAGTGTCGTTTTCAATGTGTAAATTACTTTCTTTTGGTCTTTTTCAATGTTTTGTAAAACAATAAGTGACAGGATGGTTTAGAAACACGCATTTAAACCGTACTTTCCATTTCATATTAATAAAAAAACCAGCATTTATTATTTATCCATTATTTTAATAATTGAAATAAAATAAAACGACTATGAGTAACAAATTCATATTTAATTTTGTTATATGTATATGACTCATACATGAACGCTTCAACAATGTTATTGCAAACAATAAAGCAAAATCGCACTAAATACAATTCAAAGTTGGATTGTTTTGGCCGCTCAAATTTGACAGGGTATCCCGTGTCTAAATAATTCGACCGAGAGGAGATCAGACGTGTTTTATATTACACATTTACTTTTTGCTAAAGTCCAAATACATACAAAAACACGCAAACAGTATCATACAAACGCAACGCAACGCAAACGCAAAACACAGTGTACAACAGTCCAAAAGATTACCGCAAATGACATCAAATTGAAGATTCCATTCATCGCTGGGAACCCAAGCGTATAAATAGAACCCACAACTGACGCCATTGTACGGCAACGCCATACACTGCAACGCAAAAAACAGGAATTACCAAGTACTACGGGCAAAACCAAATAACGCAAACTGCAGTCCAAACACATGGACAAACTGTATGATACTTCCAAAATTAATTTCCTGATTATAGGTCGGCCTACCCTGACGGGTATTCCGTCACGAGCAGTAGAACCATACACAGGGTTTTAAGTTAAAATGCCAACAAAACAGAATACAATGTCTGATCTCCTCTCGATCGGAAGAATTTTACGCCACTGTGAGCGACGATATCAAAATTAAATATGAAAAAACAGAGTATAACATATAAATTTCTGTGAATCTATGAACGTTTATTAAACTACAGTTTTAAATTCGAATTTCAAGTGTCCACACTTTTTTATTTAAGTCTAAGCTAGCACCGAACGTAATTCTATATACTTATTATTAACCAGTCACAAAGATGTTTTCTGTAATTTATAAAGTACACAGTCTCTTCACATTAGCTGGTTTTCACTTATAACACACAATGTATTTGCTCCCAAGTGTTCCATCAGGGTAGCATCCAATCTCTGCGTTCAGGTGCGTAGCCAACTCTTGACATTTGTGGACAAACACAGATTATTGACAAAACTCAAACTCAATCCTGCAAATAGATAAACAGCAGCAGTAATCTTGTACAAGCTAAATATCAAATCAATACACATAAGGCTTAACAGTCAAAATATTTAATTAACAGTTTCGATCTTAATGAACCTGCCTATTAACTTCTTAATATATTAGCCTAAACAGGGTGTGGCGGGCGGGTAATTGAGTGTGTTATTGCTTCGTCGTCAAACAAAAACTGAGAAAGTTGCACGAGAAATTCGGGCTTTTATATTATTAACAGCTAACTCTTTAAACCCGGCCCTATATAGAAATGATAAGATAAACACGGTAACCAGTGTAATGTAAACAATCTATAGATAATGACCGAGGTTTGCCGATTGCCACGTAATGATAGCTTTACACAAGGTAGCAGACGATTATTTCTCTAAAATAAATGGGATTATTTTAATTCTAAAATAATCTTTATTATTTTAATAATTGAAATAAAATAAAACGACTATGAGTAACAAATTCATATTTAATTTTGTTATATGTATATGACTCATACATGAACGCTTCAACAATGTTATTGCAAACAATAAAGCAATATCGCACTAAATACAATTCAAAGTTGGATTGTTTTGGCCGCTCAAATTTGACAGGGCATCCCGTGTCTAAATAATTCGACCGAGAGGAGATCAGACGTGTTTTATATTACACATTTACTTTTTGCTAAAGTCCAAATACATACAAAAACACGCAAACAGTATCATACAAACGCAACGCAAACGCAAAACACAGTGTACAACAGTCCAAAAGATTACCGCAAATGACATCAAATTGAATATTCCATTCATCGCTGGGAACCCAAGCGTATAAATAGAACCCACAACTGACGCCATTGTACGGCAACGCCATACACTGCAACGCAAAAAAACAGGAATTGCCAAGTACTACGGGCAAAACCAAATAACGCAAACTGCAGTCCAAACACATGGACAAACTGTATGATACTTCCAAAATTAATTTCCTGATTATAGGTCGGCCTACCCTGACGGGTATTCCGTCACGAGCAGTAGAACCATACACAGGGTTTTAAGTTAAAATGCCAAAAAAACAGAATACAATGTATGATCTCCTCTCGATCGGAAGAATTTTACGCCACAATAAATTTATCAAAAAATTTATCCCCCAAATTCTTATTGGGAGACTGGTACATTTTTTATGATAGAATCTTTGAAGTAATCTAGGAGGAATTCCAAACCAATATCATTGAGATGAACCCCGTCTGCCCGAAAAAATGCAGTTTTAGCATCAATGTCTGGCTTAATTGTGTCACTTTTACCCGATGAATGAACTAATTGACGGCCTATCCTGTTAACTCGTTTGCGTTTATTTTCCATAGCAACCCAACCCCCCGTGGCATTATGCCAGGTCTGCCTCTGTAATATATCTACCCAAATTAGTACCGTTGTAGGGAAAGCTTCACGTAAGTAAAAAATTTCATCCCGAATAACATCTTTCAAATTTAAAATCGGTAAATCTGCCAAATCATTACCTCCTAAATGAACAATAATAATGGATGGAGGTGAAGAAAATAACACCTGTGATTCAATAGAGTGGCGGAAAGACTGCCAACGTAGGCCTCGAACACCCCACCAGGCTATTGTTAAATCTTTCAATCTCAAATTAGGCTTTCCTGTATTCTTTGCCCGCTGTCCAGCCCAGAACGGGATCGAGTCACCCAGGACCCAAACATCTAAATATAAATAAAAGATTACACAGCGTAAGATAGTGATTGAGAAGAATCAACATTTAAGGACGAATATAAAGTCGAAACGCTTGAGATGTCCACCTTCCCAGTTTCATTATTACTGATGAAGGGTAACCTTTTGTAGCTAAGTCTGTGGCTCTGCCTATTCTAAAGCTATGGGAGGTGAAATGTGCGTCAGACAAATTAGACTGATTGACACACTTAGTTAGTACTGCCGAGAACTGCGTTCTAGTTACCGGCGAACCATCAGCGTGACAAAATAGAGGGCCCTTTGAACGAGGCCTGATTGACACAAATTCAAATAGAGCGTTAACAGGGCATAAATCACCAGTTTCTCTAGGTATTTTCAGAAGAACAGGAGTCCCTCTTTGATTTGTTTTAAAATGACGCAATTTAATAACTGCATATTCTTTTTGACCTACAAATGTCAAATCCGATAAACTGAGCACATTTTCAGCTTGCATGCCGGATGACGTAACCAATTCGCTGACCCGAAACAAACCAAAATAGGCCAAGGTAAAAAGTGACTCGAATAACTTGTTTTCGTAAATATTATAACACACGCTCGGTAGTGAATCACACACCGAAACCAAAGTGCGTATTGTTAATGGGGCCCGACAATCGTTAGTTATACGATTTCTGCGACAGCCTTCTAATAATTTGTTGACCATAAAAACATTATTTATGTCATAAAAACCATATAATTTATGGTAATAATTCAGGCCAGCGATATAAGTTGTAATAGTTTTTGGCGAATGGCCTTTCACAAAACAAAATGCCATAAACAAAATCACGTGATTAATTGGAATAGGCCATTGACTTAGCATTTTGAATGATAGTCTAAATGTCTCGAACATATTGACGCTAGTTCGGTAAGTTGATAAAGAGTTTGATGCTAGTCCCGATTGTAGCAGTTGTACAACTCTAGACTGAATGTGTTCCATAGAAACTCTGGAACCTGGCAAGGGGTGAGGTCTGCTTCCGGTGCCAACTCCCTGAATCGAGATAGCTGAAACCGAGACAAAGCATCACAAATATCATTTTGACAGCCACGGAGATGACTAGCCTTAATTAAAATGTTGAGTCTTAAACAGCGTAATGCTAAAATTCTGACAAGACACATGACTACCTCTGATTTTGACGTTAACTTATTGAGTATATGTACAACTGCAATATTATCACAATTAAATTTTATTTTTCTGTTCACTAATTCCTCGCCCCAAATGAATAATGCGACTAAAATGGGAATGAGTTTTTAGAACAGTAATATCCGTGGTGATACCTAATTCATGCCACCACGTTGGCCATCTTGCATTGCACCAATGACCCTTGAAGTAAAGACCAAAACCTAAACCTATACCCCCGGCACTATCTGAAAATAACTGCACATCCTCATTTGAGACCCAAAATCTGTCATGAAAAACGGAAATACCGTTAAATGATTCTAAGAAAACTAGCCACATAGACAAATCCAATTTTATTTCTTTTTTTATTCTAATTCGATGATGAGATTTAGTAAGCCCACATATTGAATTAATTAAGCGGCGAATAAATGGCCGACCAATAGCTATGGCACGACAGCAAAAATTTAAAGATCCAATTAAAGATTGTATCTCTTTTAATGTTGACTTTTTATGAGATAAGATATTCTTTATTTTTTCAACAACCTCGGTTATTTTAGTCGTGGGTATCCTCACAACCATTTTGCTTGAATCTAACTCGAGGCCGAGGAAAACGAGGCTCTCCGTGGGCCCCTCGGTCTTATCTTCGGCTAGGGGTACCCCTAACTCCGACATTGTTCCTCTAAATATTTGTAATGCCCTATTGCAAGAGTCCATCGACGTATCACCTCCCAAAAAATCATCTAAATAGTGAATTAATTTGCCTGATTCAAAATTAAATGTAATGCAAAATTCTTTCAAAGGTTATACAGCTTACAGATGCTCCAAACGGAAGTGCCTTATCGAAATAAAACTTATCGTTATAACGAAAACCAAGCAACTCAAAATCTGAAGGTTTAATAGGGATCAGACGGTAAGCACTTTGAATATCGCATTTAAATAGTTTGCAGTGCTGACCTAGATCTTGAATCATTTTGATTGCCTGATCAAAACTGGTGTATTGAACCGTGCACAAGGCCGGATCAATATAATCATTGATTGATTCGCCCGGCGGATATGACAGATGATGAATCATTTTGAACTCCCCGGGGGTTTTCTTCGGGACCAGACCAATCGGGGATACAATTAAGTTTGGTAGTGGACGCTCATTGAATGGTCCAGCTACCCGGCCAGCTATAATTTCTTTATTAATTTGACTGTTAATTATTTCCGGATTTAACAGAGTAAAACGCAGATTATTGGAATCACGTGCAACACGGGGACCGGAATACTGTAGTGGAAAGCCATTCTTAAAACCATCGTATAAAAACTCTGCTTCAACTTTATTATAAAATTGTAAATAATATTGCATGGCCGAAAGTTTAATTGGTGATTTCGCAATATTATGAATATCTGGATTTGACTGTTTTTCTGATGTACAACAATGATTAATCGGTTTACTTGTTTGACTGCCCTCTATTGTAACCTCTCCCTTTTGAATGGGACTGAGACCCCCTTCCTCGAAAATTACGTTGAAAAGCTGGTGTACGGCTTTTCTGTGTATAACCAACTGAATTTGAAGAGAAACAGTTTATCTCAGGATGGGGCGCATTACACTTCGCGCATAAGTGGGGAAAATTGCAGTTTTGCCACGTGCATCTACCATTATTAAAATCAAGACACGTGTACTTAAATTTTGAAACGTTTTGGGCTTGATCTGGCTGTCTAACTTGCATACACCGCCACCATAGGTCATTGTTGATTTTAGACCATGGTGAAGGTGTAATAGCCTGGCGTAAGCGAAACTGCTCATCATAAGTTTTCCAGGCTGACCCGCCTTGTCGCATAGCGCATTCTCTTATATTGTACATATAATGTAGCAGTTCATAAACTTTGTCTGAATGATTTGACAGGTATATGGAGGCATATATGATGAATGCATTTGTCCATTTTTCGATATCATAAATCTGATCTTTACACTCCTTTGGAGCCGAAACAAATTGTAACTCGGAATTAACCGTAACAATACCGCCCCTAAAAAATTCGGATAGCTCAATTGCACCCTTAAGCAACAACGCAAAATTAACGTACTCGCCTCTACAGATTTGCTGTTTGAGAACTGTAGGGATATGAGCCGCTAAGTCATCGTCTGCTAGGCGAACAGATGGTGCTGAACATACATTAGCTGGTGAAACATTTGTCAGCGGTCTAGAATGAACATTTGCATTATTACTGGTTGTGTCGGACCCCAGAAAATGATAATTATTTACACGTGTTGGTAAATCTTTATTTGAAATAATACCCGATGCACTCAAAATTCGCTCGAAGTCGATAACATTGGACTTACCCGCTTCAGTCTCTAGAAGCCTGACATCCACCATGTCGTCCAATTCATCGGCTTGGCGCTTCTGACCCCTCGATTGTCTGGCATCGACGCGCGGGTTATCCTGCACGTGCTCTTGACTCTGCTGGGGCTGGGCGCTACCACAATCATCTACTGCTCTACCTGCACGACGTGGAGTTGAATTTTGTTGAATGCACGACGGTCCCTCGTGCATTTCTCTGCAAACGACGCTCCCCTAGAGGAATTTCAGGTACTGAAGCTGCCTATCGTCTCTCGCTGCGTCGCATAGCCATTTCTCTTCTCGAAGGTTGAATCCTTCGGCGTGTACGACCTCGTGGCATGGCAAATAAATTTCAGCTTACTCTAATTGAGTGTGTTATTGCTTCGTCGTCAAACAAAAACTGAGAAAGTTGCACGAGAAATTCGGGCTTTTATATTATTAACAGCTAACTCTTTAAACCCGGCCCTATATAGAAATGATAAGATAAACACGGTAACCAGTGTAATGTAAACAATCTATAGATAATGACCGAGGTTTGCCGATTGCCACGTAATGATAGCTTTACACAAGGTAGCAGACGATTATTTCTCTAAAATAAATGGGATTATTTTAATTCTAAAATAATCTTTATTATTTAACTTGTCAGTTTTTATTCATTTTATTGCCTTATTTATTTAAAGCATTCAGTTCATGCAACATGAAAGGTATGCATATATCCATCCATAACATAGACATTATAAGATGTATTTTCAAGTTAAATGATATACAACAAATAATTTACTAAATGCTTATTGCTTTGGAGATATATGAATTGATTTCAATTATTAAATAGTTTCAAGTCTTTTGTATGTTTCCATACTTCATACAATGCTTAAAGCAAAATATTATTTTAAGTTTTTTTTTTAATTCTACAAGTTCATCATGCAAAATAATTCACTTTCTCTGAGGTTCAATTTTGTGAATAAAGTCTGAAAAAAATAATTGGAAGAAGTCTACAATATAACGAGATCGCCTTGAGCCTTGAGAACTTTCTTTGTCAGAAAAAAAAAAACTGTTCGAAAGTTTCAATTTTACAATTTCATCAACTAACGTATTTTTCCATAGACTAATTTGATTATATTTTAGCAACGTCATGTTCCACGGAGTATGATAATTAACATGTGAATATCAAACCATAGTAAAAAAGTGATTTGTTTAATGTTTTCATAAGAAAAATTTAAGAATTTTAACTAATTTGTATCTGTTGGCTTACAAGGAAATTACGCTATTGTTTTAATAGGTTGATGTTTGCTTTTTGTGAAAATTAAAATGTCAGAACATGTTATCTGTGATAAATGACACATAGACTTTATAAATAATGCGTGTTTCAAATTATTAACAAATCAAATTATTAGCATATCAAATCAAATTATTAACATAACAAATCAAATTATTAACATGAGCTATATAATGACAGCATAAATAACTATGCATTATAATTGCAATCCACAGTACAATTCCATTAACATAGAATGCGATATTTGCACTTATGAATACATACAATGATACATCTTCATCAAATGTATTTTTTTGTTGTTAAACAAAAATTACAAGATTAGCTAACAGAAATGAATGCATGAAACACATATTTTAATAACATAAAAGCGGATTATTCATATGATAAAAATTTGAAAGAATCTGTTTTCTCTTTCATAAAGCTGGCTACAGATTCAAACAAAATTCAAGACCCATACAAATACTTTTATGAGAATTAACAGTCGGTTTCAGTGAAACCCCATGGATATATATGTGAATGTTGATTTCTTGTAAAATTTTACTGCTTTGAAAAATTGAAAAGAGTCACTTCAGTTGAGGGAAATGTTAGATATATACAGTCACGAACAAACCTTTTTCTCATACAAATTGTTTGATTTAAAAAAAAGCAGATTTGGTATTATAAAGATGCTTACTTTCGTAACAAACAATCTACTGGCAAAACATGATGTCATTATTAAAGGATTTTTTGTATTATACTTCTCAGCTGTTAAATCAATCTGAGTAATTTATCATTGTTACCGACAAAGTGACACTTTCTCTGCATTATTTATACTGCTTTAAATAACAGAAGAATGTTAAAACACAATGGATGATTACGTCAAAAAATACACAGTTTAGAAGCTTGTCGGCGGGATTAAATAACATCTTTGACATATCCAATAAGTTAAATGTGTTATCATCATTTTTTACGTCGTTGTTGGTATTTTTCTACTGCTAGCAGAAATTCTTATCGCCTTGTAATAGAGAAAATACGAATCCTTAAAGAAATCCAAAAACGACAAAATTGAAAATATTGCAGGCTCGTTTAGATTGAGTCTGTTTATGGACGGTACTGTAAAGTTCAAACTATCGTCGGCGCCACCTAGCACCGGCTTAAGCAGAATTCATCATTTAAACATGAAATGGTCAAATTTTTATTTAGAAACATCCGCAGATGTGTTCATACGGCGGTTATCATGGAACCTTCAATACAACACTTCCATGTCATTCCATGAAAAGCGGCGTATGATCCCCAAGTAATAGAAAGCATGTGGCCTTCACGAGTAAACATTGGAAGGAACTAAATAAAATGGAATTTTGAAAGGGGATCAGAGGTTATGAAGCATGCATATCACAGATAAGACGTCAATAGACAAAGTAAAAAAGCAGGCAACTAGTCATCAAAGTTATCCTTGACTTAAACATTGCATTTTCTTGCAAATAAATATACGTTATGTGGAAACACGTAAAGGTATCCAAAACAAAAGTATCTGGCCAAAATCATACCGCCAGAATTCAGGGGCAGATATGCAATGCAATTCAGTCAATGAATATCGAATATATCACGGAAGATGTGAAATATCAAACTTAACATAAAGCCTTGCAAGTACATCTGGCAACTTCTCATGGCTTTTGAATAATAATTAGTTCCTTACTTAAATGATTAGTTCAATGCAACAAGCTACAACAAAATTCCGATTGTTTGTACATTAGCTAGAAAAGGTTAAAACACACCACTGAAATCCAGTAGACTAAAATTATAAAAATTAAAATTCTGCTTTAACTCAACTGGTGTATGTAAAATGGACAATTATGCAATATATAAGATATAAATACACTCGGTATTCAATTGGTAATCGATTTGTTTGCGATTTTTGGCCGATTTTAGTATAAGGCATTGCAACGCTTTTCATTTTAAGGTCACATTGCAGAAACAAAATTTAATTTTCCAGCAAATGATCTGACATTTTGTTCACAAGTATTTGGACACCCAGTTATACAAAAATCGTAAAAACAAATACAACATTTTCCCCTCATGTAAAAAGTCCTCAGTAGAATCTTTATTCACATAACTTGTTTAATCTAAGCCCATTTATTTAAAACGTAGAAGTTGTAACGTACAAAATATTGCGTCTTATCTTTTTTGGAGGCGTGAACCGTACCTTGCACTTACCATTACGGACCATGAACAGGCGCAATGAAATCGAAACTGCTATGTTTCCAATTTTTGTCGTTTTACTCTATATAAACATGAATGGAAATCATAAAATAATGAATTATAAGTCTACATTTGGAAATCATAAAAGAAAACAGAAAGGTACAAGGTAGACATAATTAACTTTCAAAGTTTCAGTCTAGGAAGAAAACGTTCACATGCTTAAAATAAAATCAATTGTTTTCTGTTTCTTGAGGAGGGTTCACTTAGAAGATTGACAATATCCAGAAATTTTATAATATCTTCTAATTATCAGATTACTTTCATTGCCTTGAGAAATTGTAAACACTTTTCCCTTTGGAAATTTATTTCATATATTAAGATTGAATTGAGATAAATAACATCTATTGCACACATGTGATCGTGTAACACATAGACAACACCAAGCTCACTTACATTACTAAGTACGTGTAACCGTAATCAGTTGATTGATGGGTGATTTAATCCTTTTGCATTTTGTCACCTCTGAAATTTCCGTACACAAACATGTTTCAAATTGAGTTTATACTTCATCATTTTTTTTCATTCATTATTATTATTCATTGATCATTTTCTCTATAACATCTAAATAAAACAATTTGCTTTATGTAACTTCTTGAATGATAAAAATTCATATGTCATCTAAAATGTTATTACACCTCTTTATTTTCATTTTCCTATTATAAATATTAATATAATTAAATAAGGCATTGACTGACGTATCTCAATGATCAAACAAGTGTCTGCTATTATAAAATGTATCGGGATCGTCACGAATAAAATAAAAGGCTCGGCAGAGCCTCGTCCGTCTTTTTTCCTTGCCTTGCCTAATAAATTGTGTAATTATATAAGACACTAGCATGGTATTTTATAAATATATAAATTAAGAATGTGTATTGCATATCCGATGAAAAACAAAATAATAAATAAACGTAATCACGAAGGTGGCACCATTGACATCCTGTGATCAAAAACTCTGCCTACAGGAGTGGACAGGAGTTACAAACACTTGTTCATTATTTCGTTTTTTGTTCTTTTGATTTTAATCAGTTCATTAATTGTTTGTCATAGAAAGATCTAAAATAAATTTCAAACAAAAGTTGTTTTTAAATCAAAATGTTTCTCATGAGCAATGATATTTGCTGCAGATTATATAAATTGTTTAAATTGGATGTATTTCTATAATCCAATAACGATGACGTTATATTGTCTTCTTTCATTTTGAGTGTTGCACTTTTCGGCTTAAAACAATCATACTCATTCATTAGGTTAGATTAGTCTGATTGAGTTTCCGATTTCAAGGTTACCTTGAAAGTCTGAACTTTTAAGGATTATTTGAAGTCAAAGTTCTTATGTAACAGGAAGTTAATTGCATTTAACGTTCGTCTTTAAAATAGATAAAACTGATTCTTTTTCAAACGCCAATAAAAGCGCCAACATTGAAAATATTGCAGGCTTGGTTTCATAGAGTTAAACATGGACAGAAGTGATTTAATTAATTTATCAGCATGTGTCATTAAGTGTAAAATGTTATAAAATAGTTCTCATAAAAATGTGTTATATTAAAAATGATGACTGTACATAGTTATTTCAGAGGATTCAGATTTTCCATGGAATTTTATTGATTAGTTCAAGTAATTAGCAGGATGACGATTTTATTACTCAACAGTGTTGTTTCAAGCTCCTTATAAATAAGCATAACAACAATTTGACAAACTGGATC